ACGTGCTGCTCCCCACGAATAGACTGGAGCCTTGTTTAAAAAAAAAAAAAAAAAAAAAAAAAAAAAAACATGCGAGGAATTATTGAGGTTGCAGATCTTGATTGCAGGGTGGTCACCTCAGGCTGGCCCAAGGCACAAAATTCTTGAAATACGGTTTAGCCTTTGGCCGTTCTTTTCAGAGATGTTCATAGCTTGAGAGGATTATTACTTACAGTATCATTGGTTAGGGGACTCTGCAGACTGTAGAGGGTTCAACAACTTCAGCCTCATGATGAGTCGTGAAATGCCAACGAAACAGTCCATCACAGCTCCTCGTTTGCTGTGTCCTCTCCTCCCTCTCTGCTTGCGGTGCACTGGGCAGTTCTTTATGACACTATATGCTATGATCTTCATCTCACTTCGCTCATTTGGTGTCCACCTCCCTCTCTCTCTCTCTCTCTCTCTCTCTCTCTCTCTCTCTCTCTCTCTCTCTCTCTCTCTCTCTCTCTCTCTCTCTCTCTCTCTCCAAAAAATATGACGGTGTATCTTCCATGTTCTAGCGGAAGATTCATTCCCATTTTGCATGCCGTTCACCATACACCGCCACATTTTATGTATGCAAAAATTGAAGACAATAAATATGGTGGTATATCTTCCCACGGTCTAGCGGAAGATTCATTCTCATTTCCCACGTGAATGCACAACTTACCAACAACACAGTTGCGCGGCATGATGCAACCAAAAACTTGCAAGAACCTTTCTCTCTCTCTCTCTCTCTCTCTCTCTCTCTCTCTCTCTCTCTCTCTCTCTCTCTCTCTCTCTCTCTCCAAAAAAATGGCAGCATATCTTCCCATGTTCTAGTGGAAGATTCATCCTCATTTTGCATGTGAGTGATGAAAATGCAGTGTGGACTAGCTCAATTGTTACACCCATGAACTGCTGAAAATTGACATGTATTCAAATCTAGTACATGCAACAATCGGAAGGCCAAACAAAAAGTTGCAGTGGGGAGAGAAAAAACAAGGCAGTCCAGTCTAATTCCTGAGTCCAAATATTCCTTACGTCTTGACACTATGGGCGATTGGTGCAAGATCAAGAAAAACTTGATATCAATAGAATTAGCTCAGTCGGTCTTTCAAAGGAAATGGTCTGACCGCTAGTACATTTCCCAGCTATTGGTCGCTGCACGCCGAGTTTTGGCAACGCATCTCAGCTGCCCGCCTCCAAAGGCCGAGTGCGGCCTCTGTGTTAACCTCCGCGTCTCAGTGAAATATATGAGAAAGATAATGGTGGTTTGACTGGGCAGATTTCTTTGAAGCGAACAAATTCTTCTACACAGAAGCGGTGTGGGATCATCCCCACACCATAATTGGCTGAACATAGCAAATATCAGACAACTTTTTGCGGAGAGGGTCTGAAGCAGTATTTGCGTCCACTAGTACTTCAAGTTATTAAAGAGTAAATAATCCATTATCCCTATTTTTCCCTCTTAGAATTGTTTCGCATTACGACATTCTACTTTGAGATCACTAGAGGCGAAACCAGGTAATCCTCTTGTCACTCATGATCTGTGTTCGGGGTAGATTGTGGGGACTTCGCCTCAACATATTTATGAGGGGCGTTGGGCCCGGTTCCTAACTCGTGCAACTCCCCACATAGAAAGGAGCAACTGTTGCTAAGAATTTTTTTTTTTTTTGCGAAATACTCCTAGATATATGCCAAAATGTCCCTAAAAGATCTGGGTGGAGCGGAATACCTCTCCGACACAAAGAATATTTTGAGAAATGCCCCTGCTGCCGGTTGGACTTGTCATTTTTGCAAAATACCCCTACCGGGTACTGTCCATGTTTGCAAAATTTCCCGGTAATTGCCAACTTTTCCCAGACCCTTTGTATTTTTGTTTTACCCTTATCTTTGTGTTTTGCCACCTCGCTGCGTGTGTGTGTGTGTGTGTGTGTGTGTGTGTGTGTGTGTGTGTGTG